TTGTGTGATCATCAATGGAGGTTGATCATTTGAATCTACTAACTGATTAAATAAATTATTTTAAGACAGATTAATCTCATAATAGTATTTTACCTTAACATGCATTTTTCTAACAGTATAATCTGTTAGTACTTGCTCATCACTTAATGTTACACTGAATGGTCCATAATCCTTTGTATCTGAATTAGGCCAATACTGCTGACACTTCACTTTTCCTTCCTCTATGATATTAGTAATCATGACAATGATAGTGGACTTTTCCTGCCAAATTAACTGCCAAAAGTCAACAAGTGTATTTGATACAGGCCCTAGTAAGTAATAATATGTAAATTTTGCTCTAAATTTCCTGACAATATAAAATTTTAATGACATTATTAGGTGAATACCAGATAAAGCACTGTTTAAAACTTATAAATATGAAGCAGAAAATATATCATAGCTAATACATGTCATTCAAGTCTGACTATCAGTAGTTTATGATTCCTTGTTATTGAAAGTGATGATGAATTACATGTATGCCTTTCAGTCTATCAAGACTGTCAACTGGTGATAAACAATGTATAGGAAATAGTAACTTGTTTACCTTGTGTTGCTATATACTGATATTGATTAGAGTAATCCTATTGTCAAAACAAATTCATCACAAACTAGCAACAATATCTTAATATGCACCAATACATTATAATATTAAAATATGTATGTCATGATAATACATGATATTTATTCACTTACCTTAATGAAGCATGCATTGATATACTCATTTGTACAATCCTTATGGCCTGGCATCGGTCTTAGTGTGATACGATTATCATCATCTGTATAAGATAATAATTATGAGTCTTAATGAATGAATTAAACTATTAGCTAATGTACATGAGTGAATAACAGTTAATGGGATAGCTTTGCAGTACTGTGTATATCAAAGCTCATTTGATATTAGTAGCCAATATTCTCAACAATAACAATAATGCATTATACGGTAAGTGTATCTTTCAATGACAAAGTTGTTTTAGTGATAACTTACAGACTACAATGTTTGCAAAGCGATTCAACAGTTTATTGCTTGGAGTAAGACCAACTGTCACTGTGTGGTCACTTTCACCACTGTCTAACATCTATTAACAAAAATAACATGAAAGTTAGAGAATCATGTATGAATTGAGAAATATGAGACAGATATAAGAAAGAAATAAAGTGAAACATCTCACCCCAAATTGGTTTCTAAATCCCTCGTTTCCTTTAGCATGTCCATTAGCTACAAATTCTCCAAATTTATCAACAGGAATCATATCAATCTTAGCACTGGATGAGTCACCATGTAACAATCTGCTCTCATCACTTCCCTCCACTGCAACTGTGAGTACAACTTGTTGACTAACTGTTCCAGCATCATTATTAGCAACAAAACGATATGTTCCTTTATGTTTCTCCTCAACACTCACTAGCAGTAGACTACCATCTCCTCTCAGCTCATGAGCATAATCATCAGTCACTGGCTCTCCATTATGATACCAATTAAAAGATGGTTTTGAATTTCCCCTAACTTTAACTTTAACTTTGAAAAGAACTTGACGACCTTCTTCAGATGTCATATCATTAGGGAATTCTTCTATCACTGGTGTATAGGCTCCTTTACAGTACTGTAGGTTGCCTCTTGAATATCGTCTACTATATATGATAATTAAAATAGTGCATTTATGTTGTATGACACTGTTAATATAGGTGAACTTACATCCAATTTCTTCATGTACTTCATTGTTATTATTGTATGTACTATAACTTGATACACCAAGTTCAGTAGCTGTTCCTTTATCAGTACTATTTTTAGTAGCTATATTGTATTTCTTTTTTATTTTCTTGTTCCTGTTACCATTAATAAGTATCATTCACTCAAGGCACGCTTACTTTGAAATCAGCACAACTACAATGGTGATTACAATTATTATGACTATCAATAGTAATGGTACAATAGCTCCAGCTGCTATGAAAATAATAGTCATTGAACTTCCATCAGTAGTAGGCAACATAGGAGTACCTATAAAACATAAAGATTCATTCCGGTATTATACTAATAATCAATAACAAATTTATCATGCAACATTACTTGATTTTGACACTGACAAGACAATGAATGTGGTCATACTTGGCACTATACTTGTCATTGACACACCACCTATGGTATACCATGATTTTCATGTGATTGAGTGACAGACCTATCAGTAGCTAACCTGTTGTTTGTTTCATAGTCACACTTGGCATTATACTTTTCATTGAAGTACCTACAGTGTAACTATCGATATTAATGTACTGGTGGCTCAATTACTTATTGTTTGTATCACAGTTATACTTGGCACTAAATCTATATGCGACATAACTGTCAATAAAAAACAGCAAAGTGACTTTTATGTCACCACATACAGGC